ATGTGGCTAGTGGTGACCTTACCAGACAGCACCAGATCTAGAACATTCCATCATCACACAAAGCTCTACTGGACAGAAGTGCTCTGGAGAGGGTAGGTCCAAGAGGAAGCCAGGACACATCTGACAACTGCCACGTAGTCAGCTCCTATTCAACAAGGAGTAGGCATTCCAGGCTAGGAGGCCCACAGCGGGACCCTCCCCAACAGGGCCCCAGCGCCCAGCAGCTAGCCATGTGCTCCCCAGACAGGAACATCCGACCCATAAGACGACTTCGAAAAATACCAAACCAAGGACAAGAGCGCTTAGACAGTAAAAACAATGGACAAAATAAATTCAAGAACATCTTCCACATGCAAAACAAAGATCAAAAAGCAAAACTATGTGGGAAAAGCTAAGGGACCCAGAGGAGTGATCCCTCCAGTGATCACTCCTGGAAACCTAACATCCAATTCACAGGGACATCAAGAAAGAGAAAGCAGAAGCAGAGAAATGACCAATAACACACCAGAAGTCCACTGCGCCAAAGGATGTAAGTCTTCAGGTTAAAACTGTCCTGCTAATGCCCAGCATAACAGAAAAGGCCCAGAGCAATTCACACTCTGATAAGACATCAGTTTCTGGAAACTTTCAGTAACAAAAAAGTGTCCTGAAAAAGAAACTTGGACTTGGTAACAGTGGATGAGGGAACCATGCCTTCCGTCTTCAGCCAGCCAAGCTATCAACCAAGTATGAAAATGCATTTATTCTGGGGGCGCCTGGGCGGCTCAGTTGGTTAAGTGACTCTTCGGCTCAGGTCATGATCCTGGAGTCCCGGGATCCAGTCCCGCATCGGGCTCCCTGCTCAGCAGGGAGTCTGCTTCTCCCTCTGACCCTCCCCCCTTCTCATGCTCTCTCTCTCTCCTTCTCTCTCTCAAATAAATAAATAAGTCTTTTAAAATAAATAAATAATAAAACCAAATTGGAATAATTCTGTAGGTCTAAAAAAAAAAGGAAAGGAAAAGAAAATGCATTTCTTCTGCCTGAGACGGTGAGAATTCAGAAAGCTTACCTTCTACAAAACCTGGTGGTTACCTGAAGAAGAAAAAAAGAGCACACACAGCACCAGCCCACTTTTTAAAAGGCGCATATGTGTCCGCTAAAGCTAACCCCTAATGCCTCACATGGTAACATGTTTGAAGTTTCAACAGCCCTGTGGGGCAGGTAGTGCTAATAATCCCCATTTTGCAGGTGAGGACACCCAGGCCAGAGCAGCTGAGTGGTGGCACTGGGTATGCAAATCCAGGCAGTCTGGCCTGGGTCTCAAGCACCTAACCCCCACCCTGTGCTGCTTTTTAATTTAAGTTACTATTGCTACCTTCCTCCTTCCTAATTTCACTGCCAGGAGTGTTACTTTTGCAGACAGAAAAAAGAAAAAAAATTGTTATCAGAATGAAACAGGTCAAAAAGAAACAATGAGAAAAGAAACAAAAAGCCACTCCCCTTATACTAAGTTAAGGAAACCCAAGCCTCACTGCCTCCATCTATAAAACAGAGCTGACCATAGATCATATATGATCTATATGAGGATTAAATGGTGACCCCCGTAAAGCACTCGGTTCTAACAAAATGTGCCTGGCAAACAAACTGATTAAAATACACACGATGAGCAAAAAAGAGCTTCTTAAGTAACAGCAAGGAAGAAAGAAGCTCAAATACATCTGCCCACAGCCTAGAGCAACATTTAGAACTCCTAGGACTATCACAGTCCACTAGCATTAAGTGGCCCTACTAACAACAAATAAGCACGGGGCACTGCATCCTGACACCCTCTGCTGGCAAATACAAAGACACACACATCCCAGCACCACGCACGAGGCCTCTGCGATCCTCTGTACGTGAAGGATCAAAACCCAAATCATTAGCCTCTGTTCTTACCAAGGTGTGGGTCCAACAGATGAGGCTGCTCCTGGTATTTGTCCATTATTACTAAAAAGAAAAACATGGGAATTAACACCCTTGAGGTACGTGTGCACACAAGGCCCGGGAATCCTCAGTTCTCCCCCTGCTGACTGCTCTGGTTCGGCTCTTAAGAGCAAAGGCCACCGGCGGCAGCCCCCCAGCGCCACCACACCCCCCACTCGCTCAGCACACCTTCCTTTCCCCCCACCCATCAAGCCCACAGACACCTTCGGCCCCTTTACTCCTCCCTGCGCAGAACACACTGCGCGTTGTGCCCTCCCCGGGCCCAGCCCTTCAGAGCACACGCCCCCCCGTCCCACGCAGCCCGGTTTCCGCTCCTTCCAGGAGCCGGCGCTGCTGCCATCAGATCCAAAGACCCCTCGCCTGTGACAGGCACCCTGCGCCACACCGCTCCACACCTGCCGGCTTCCCGGGAACGGCGAGCCCGGCTCTCCGCGGGCACTGCGCTCACCGCACAACAGCTCCGTGCCCAAGACACTGGCTCGCTCACCCCAGTCCGCAGCCAAAGAAACAGGCTCTGAAGGGCGATGAGGCACTGAGCCCAAGTGCAAGCGCGCATCAGCCCCGGGGTGTATCAGCGAAGCACACGCCGTGTCCGCGGCCGCCGCGCGGCCCTCCCCCGAAGCCAGAGGCCCGTCACCGCAAACCGAGGAAGGCAAAACTCGGCGGAAATTTACTCCGCAGAAAAGGCCCACGACGACGGCTTTACTGAGTCACAAGGCGCTTCCGATCCCACTCTGGGGCCCCGGGGAGTCGCGCCCGCATCAGTCCCTGCAGACAGGGGTTCCCCGGGGGCCGAACTCGGCGCAGCGACACCAGCCAGCAACCTGCGCCGCGCGCCCCCCGCAGGGCCCCCCGCAGGGCCCCCCGCAGGGCCCGGGGCGACGGCGCTGCCCCCCGACGGCACCGCCGCCTGCTCCCCCGCCCTCTCCGCGCCTTTGTCTGCGGCGCGCGGGCCCGCGGCGGCTCCCCCTCTCCCGCCCGCCCGCCGGCCCACACGGCCGTCTCGGAGGAGCCGTGCTTCGCTGGCTCCCGCCGCCCGGCCGCCCCGCGGAGGCCAACGCCAGGGTCCTCACGCCCAACCCTCCGCGCCCCTCCTCCAACGGGCAGGCGGGGGAGGGAGCGCCCACCGCCCCTCGGCCGCCCGCGCACGCTCCCCCGGGGGCGCGCCCCACGCGAGCTCACGAAGGAGGCGCAGCGGCAGCCCGACAGCACGCACGGCACCGGGCCGGGGCCCCGCGCGCACCTCGGAACCGCTCCAGGGCGCCCTCCCGGGCCGCACGGTCGCCGAGCACCTTCCGCAGGCTGCCGAGCAGCGCGCGGACCTCCGCGCTCTCGCCGAACGCCTCGAGGGCGCCGCCGCGGGCCAGCGCCTCGTCCTCCGCCCCGTCCTCCAGCGCGCCCGCGGCCGGCTCCTCGCCCAGGGCCATCGTCGGCGTCCCGGGCCGCGCCCGCGGGCTCGCAGCCCGGCTACGCCCTATAGCACCGGGGCGCGGAACGCGGCTCGAGGCCGGCTGAGGGACGACGGCTGAGCCAGAGGCGGGGGCTACCGACGCTGGCCCCGCCCCGCGACCTCTGACCCCGCGCCTCGGACCCGCTACGGAGCGCGCCGGCCGCCAAAATAGCGAGCACGGGGGTGATGCCGAGCCCTGTGGGGCGGGGCCCGGTGGAAGGAGCCTGGATCGGGCGGAGCCTGCTGCGCGGGCTGGGGGCGGGACCAGGGGAAGGCGGGGTGGGGGTCAGCTCGTGGCTGGAGCCCCGGAGGGTTGGGGACTGAGCCCGTGGGAGGCGGCGGGGCTTTCTAAGCCTGTGGATGGGGCCGGAGCGGGGGGACCTGAGCCCGTGCGGGAGGCGAGGTGGGAACGGAGCCTGTGGGCCGGGGGGGAGGGGGGAAGGACGGAGCCTGTGGGTGGGATTGGGGAGGGGCGTCTGAGCCGGGGGTGGGGTCGGGGCGGGGGTGGGACCTGAGCTTGTGGGTGGGATGGGGTGGGGCGGAGTCTGAGCTCATTGGTGGGTGAGTCTGAGGCTGCGGGGGGCCGGGGGCGGGTCTGAGCCCAGGGTGGGGTGTTGGGGGCGGGGTCGCGACCAGAGTGGCCGGAGGGCGCTCAGGCTCCGAGCCCCCCCCCCCCCCCCCCCCCCGACTCCTCACCCCCCTACACACACGAGCGACGCGGGTCGCGCCGTCACATCCCACAAATATGGGTTCTGCGATGATAGCAGTTTCTGCTTTGAAATGTCACGTGTCTGGAAGGATGCGTCTGGGGTGGAGCTCTTTCTAGAAAGTCTTAACAGGCTCGCCTGTCGCGGTGGGACCGGCCTCCTGACCGCCAGGCCTGCTGGACAGTCACACTCCTTTAAGGGAAATCTGGGCGCCCCTACCACCGTGAAATTGGTAATTTTGCAAGGAGTAATAAAGGCGTGGCCACGCCTTCAGCGACGTGCCGCGGACGGCCAGTGCCTCGCAGATCCCGCCCCAGTGCCACCTGCCCCAACCCCCCTTCAAGGATGTCAGCCCCGACGTCCCCAACCAACCGGCCAATCCGGCCATCTGACCACAGTGGACACCCCTGACACCCCACCGTGGGCACACCCCACTGCCCAAGGCTCTCCCCTACCCTCGGCCTCTTGTTATCCCGCGACAGACACGCCAGCTGAAAAATGGAGTGCGGAGCAGGTTGGGCGGTGGCTGCAGCCACAATACCTGTCCCCCACAATACTGAGGGCCTTTCCTTCCATCTGTCCTACCTCGCAATGGGAGGGCTCGCAGCTCCATTCAGCCCCAGAGATGCCGCTCAAGAGGTGAGACCCATCTCCTGGTCTCCAGCTCTGCCTGAGCCTGAGTCCACGGGGAGATGTGACCCCAACTTCACCTACGCAAATCGCAGATCTGTGTGACTCTGTAACAATCACCATGAAAATATCCCAACTCCCCCAGATCACAATACAGAATGAGCCTGTTGAAAACCTATCAGGGGCGGGGGGGGGGGGCCCTCTGTACATCAGCCCAACTGCAAGGAGGATGGAGGCACACAGCACAGCCGTTCCATCCCTGAACCTCCTACTTTATTAGTCCCTGAAGCCATCTCTGGTGTTGCCACCCCTACTTATTTGCAAAGCAGGGAGGCAGGGATGCAGCCTGGCTTCTACTTGAGAAGCTTCCTCATCGTGCCCAGGGATGGGCTCCTGTACCCCTGCCCAAAGTGGTTCCAGTGGTTTAGGTAGTTAAAGAGCTGGTACAGCAGCAGTCGCTTGTCGAACCCTGGAGCCTTGGGGATCTTCCGGTGGTAGGCAGTGAAGAAGGATCTGGGAAACCCCCCAAACATCAAAGCAATTGCCAGTTCAAACTCAGAATGTCCATAGAAGGAAGCTGGGTCATAAACAACGGGCCCCGAGTCGTCCTCAGCCACGTTTCCTGACCAGAGATCCCCATGAAGAAGGGCAGGGACGATCTCTAGACCACAAAACAGATCTGGGATCTTCACCTAAGAAAAATAATTATTGCACACAGAGTTACCATGGGATATGAGCCATGGCCGCCTCATCCAATACTTGGAAATAAGGCAGAGATGACCTCATGTTTGTTCTGGGTCCAACCACAGCCTGGTCTATGAAGCCCAGAGACCCTCTGAGTCCAGGAGAATGCGACATTATCTTACTATTAGTAATTTAGGTCTGGACAGTCCACAGCACTAATGACGTTCCTACAGCAGAGACCTCAGTGGACGCGGCCCTGTAGAATCTGGGCCAAATGACCTGAGTGCAGGGTTTTTTTAGGCAACCTGGCAAACTTTCTCTACTATCCTTTTATTTCTCAGCACATATATGCCTGCACCTCTTCTGTATACAACTGGTTACTTCATTACTGAGTTAAACAAAATTTCTTCGCTGCATGGTCACCCTGGATTGACACGCAAATTCTGTTTTTAACATTTGGAGAGTTATCTGCTACCTACATCTCTAAGAGATGAGACATTCATGCTTTGGAAAAGAACAGGGTAAGAGTGACTATGAAAGCAATAGTAAATGCCAGCATTTATGAGCCAAGCACCTGCGTTTCGTGTGGGCAAAGCTTGAGGTTGAGTACTTGGTGACCTAGCCAGTGAGAGTTGCACTCAGGGGCCAAGTATGTCTTCAGGTACCATCCCCTTCCCAGGTTCCCCATCAGGCCAACAGTCCGGAACTTATGTGTCCACACTTGACCAGCGCTGCTCCAGGGCTCCATTCTACCAGAGGACCCCACACAAATGCGATGGGCTAATAAAAGGACAGCCCCTGACCCACCTGTAGCTGTGACCAGAGCTCTCGTGCCTCTCGGTCGGCGTAGTCCTTCTCAATGAGGTCCAGCTGCGCTTGGAGACGGTACCGGGCAAAGAAGGTGGGCCAGTCTTCCTGCCACTCATTCACCTGGATGGCGAGATGAGGCTGAGGCTGCAGTCGGTGCTCACAGGGCAGAGCCATACATGGGGACTGCCCAAACCCAAACCCAATCACTAAGAGACAGACCAAATATTACAGCTAGCCACCAGAAGAGATGGGGGAGTCATTAACAATACTCAGTCCAGGGGCGTCTGGGTGGCTCAGTCGTTGGGCGTCTGCCTTCGGCTCAGGTCATGGTCCCAGGGTCCTGGGATCGAGCCCCGCATCGGGCTCCCTGCTCCGCGGGAAGCCTACTTCTCCCTCTCCTGCTCCCCCTACTTGTGTTCCCTCTCTCACTGTGTCTCTCTCTGTCAAATAAATAAAAAATCTTTAAAAAAAACAATACTCAGTCCAAAAGAGGGCAGATAAACAGGAAAAAGTGAAACAAGATAGGACAAATAAAAAACAAACAGCAAGATAACAGATTCAGCCCTAACCATATCAATAAGCACATTACATGCAAAGGGTCTAAGTACCCCAGTTAAGAGACTTGATTCCAAGCTGTGTATGAGAAATGCACTTCACGTATAAAAACAGAAATAGGGTAGGGGGATAGAAAAGATACACCATGCTAACATGAGTCGAAAGAAAGCTGGAATGGCTGTACTAATACAAGACAGTAGATTTCAGAGATGAGAATATCATAAGAATAAAGAAAGTCATTTCACGACGGAAAGCAGGTCAACTGATGACTAGGACATAATAATCCTAAATGTCTGTACCACTGATATATGGCAAATACGCACAGGAATAGGCATCCCGCGTCACTGCCCATCAGGGGAAATAGAACCTCAGGGAGACACCACAGCACACTCACCAGGATGGCTAAATAATTTTAAACAGTGGAAACTACCAAGAGCGGCCAGGATGTGGAGGAACTGGAACCCTCATCCACGGTTGGTGGGAATGTAAAATGGTACGACCGCTTGGGGAAATATGTTTGCAGTTTCTTAAAAAGTTAGGGGCGCCTGGGTGGCTCCGTCAGTTAAGGGTCTGACTCTTGATTTCCGCTCAAGTCATGATCCCAGGGTCGTGAGATTAAGCCCACGTCGGGCTCCACACTCAGCGGGAATTCTGCTTGAGGTTCTTTCCCTCTCCCTCTGCCCCTCCTCCCGCTCACTCTCACTCTAAAATAAGTAAATAAATCTTTTTTTTTTTTAAGTTAAATATGAACCTACCGTATGACCCAGCCATTTCCCTCCTAGGTATTTACTCAAGATAAGTGGGAGCATTTGTCTCCACAAACTCTTGTACACAAAGGTTCATAGCAGCTTTATTTGTGAAAGCAAAACCTGGAAACTACTCAGATGCCCATCAGCAGGTGAATGGATAAACAAACTACAGTTCATCCTACAAAGGAACGGACTTTGAACACATGCAACAACATAGAGGAGTACCATGAAATGATGAAGCTGAGTGAAAGAAGCAGGAGAAAGGCACACCGTATGATTCCATTTACGTTAAATTCTATGAAATACAGACTTATCTCTAGTGACAGTGGTTACCAGGGGCAGGGAAGGGCAAGAGGAACTTTGGGGTGATGGGTATACCCGTCCCAACTGTGCTGATTGGTTCACGGGTATCTACATATGTCAAAACTTGCAAAATTGTACAATTTAAATGTGCAGCTTATTTTATGTCAATTATACCTTAATAGAATTTTTTTTTAAACATGCAAAGCTCATTTCATACAAAGTGTCACTTTGGGAAACCCCTCTGGGGAGGGCCTCTCCAGAGAGCATGCCTCGCAGTGACCTTCAGACACATGTCCGTGGACTCCCTGTGCCGGATGCTGTGGTTGCTCAGCCCAGGGTTCACCCACTTGGTGCTGGGTGTGCCTCAAAAGCAGGAGGGGAGGCCCTCTCCCCAGACAGCCTGAGGCACATGGGGTGGCAGATCCTCCTTCCCCATCTGTCTGCACAGGCTCCCAGTGTCCAAGGCTCCATCTTCCTTCTGGATGACCAGGTCATAAAAGACACAGATTGAGCATCAGGAGCTGGACACCAGCATTGGCTAGCCCCGTCCCTCCTCCTGGACAGAGGGACTGTGATCCCCTCACCCAGAAAGGGCAGGACTTTCCCCTGAGCGGCCAAAGGCAGGGCCACCTGAGCGCACCGCTGGTGGGACCCAGCCTTCACCTTGACAGAGGGGCAAGGCAGTGAGGGGGTTCTGGCCCACACTCTGAAGCCAGCCTGTGGGTCAATCCTGGCCCTCCACTCACTAGCCACATGGCCTCAGGGCACTGCTTGGCTTCTTTGCATATCTGTTTCCTCATCTATAAAATGAGCCAAATGACAACACCCACCCCCTAAGGTTGCTACAGCAACTGGGTGACTGATGTTGGATGAAGCACTTAGAGATGTGCCCAGGGAGTGGCCGTGCACGAAATGCCAGCGGTCCCAAGGGGGCTTAACACACCAGGAGTCTGAGAAGCCTGCTGCCGCCGCTCAGGGTCACCCCACCAATGGCTACAACCCCCTGAAGGCCCACACATCCCTCCCAAGGAGCAGGACCCTCCAGGAGCTCCATGCAGGACCATCTGTCCCAGCTTAAGGTGGACCAAGTGTCCACCCAGGGCCCTCACCCCTTCTTGGCCAGTTGCAGCTGAGTTAAATAGGTTCATTGATCCTGGGTTTCAAGGGGCACACAGGGGTTGCCTGTGTCCCTAATGGACCAGTCCCATTCTCATCGACTTCACAGACTGGGGTTTTGTGTGTGATTTCATCTCCTGGTTCTTGAAAAGTCACTGTGCAAGGTCAGCTGTGTCTTTGGAGAGCCCACAGTTCTTAACATCTGAAGCAGGACACCAAGCCCCATTCAGCCACAATGGCCACCGGCTCCCGGCAGATGTGTGACCCTGGGGGAGCTGGCTTCAGCAGAGATTCACAGAGCCCTAACAAGCCTGGGAAACCACTGTGTGTATAGAGCTTGAGGGACCCCAGAGGTGAGGGCTGCCCAGGGGCTGAGATCCCTAAGTCTGGCTCAGGCTTCATAAGGGTCCTGCCCCAAGCGCCATCTACCTGGGAGACTTGCCCTCTGCCCACACCGGAGAGACAGGGAGAGACAAAGGCTATCTAGTCTACACTTCCATTCACACGAAATGCCTAGAATGGGCAAATCCATAGAGACAGAAGAGGTGAGTTGTTAGCAGGGCCTGGAGGCAGGGGAATGGGGAATGACTGCTAACTGGTATGTGATTTCTGAGGGTGATGAAAATGTTCTGTCATTAGTGGTGATGGCTGCACAACACAGGAAATATACCAAAAACCACGGAATTGTACACATTTTCCTGGGGTTTTTTTAAGTAGGCACTGTGCCCAGCATGGAGCCCAACTCGGGGCTTGAACTCATGACTCTGAGATCAACACCTGAGCAGAGATCAGGAGTCAGATGCTTAACTGACTGAGCCACCCAGGTGTCCCTGTACACTTTGAAATAACGGGGTTTACGTCACAAGAATTACAACATCCTGGGGCAGGTGACCGGGACCTGATCCCTGACATGGAATGCTGCCTCACGCCCACCCACTTCAGTCCCCTACATTCATCACACAAGCCCCTGCCGTAAGGCCTCTGCACCTGCCGTACCTCTGCTTGGATGCTCTCTCACCTGCCCCACAGCTTCCCACCTCCTCCCAGCTCAGCTCAGTGAACTTCTGCCTCTGCCCTCCTAACCCAGGTATCTCGGCTCACACTCTGAGTTCAGAAATCAGGCTGTCTTCCTGGTGCCCAGACGACTGGCCCTCTGGCACCTACAAGGGATGGGGCGACAGCACTGGGGCATTGGGAGCAGTCATCAGCTAAGCAGGGACATCCTCATGTGGGCACTCACCTGAGGGATGAAGCCACAGCACGTCACCGTGTGGAAGCCAAACTTGGTCACATACCGGGGCTCGGCCCCCTCAGCCCTCCAGCCTGTCGACAGAAAGAGCTGCTGTCTCTCTTAAATGCCAGAGCACAGCCGAGCGCTAGCACAGGCCTGGGCTCTGCAGGGACGCAGCCCTCTGAGGGTGTATTACACGTGGTAGCCGCGAGTCCGCACAGGGGCCGACCAGGACCCTCCTGCCGCGGGCACACTGGCCCGCAGGGCTGGGCATAAACAGCGTTGTGAGCCAATCCTACCCACCTGGGAGCGCCAGCAGAATTCTCACTTAACAGCGTCATCTGCACAACGCTGCTGCGTAATGTGCAATTCAGCCTGCTGTGAAAACACACCGGGAGCACCAACCCAGGTAGACACAGCGGGCGAAGGGCGCACAGAAGCAGTGAACGTACCCACTGTGTTCTCCTCCTCCTTTGACTTATCCCTGAGCTTCTGGTTGTGAAGGTGCAGGTCCGCCATCTGGTCTCCGAGTTTTGATGCCTGACTGAGGAAGGAGGAGAGGAGCGGCTTCACACAGGAAATCACCACAACCAGAGCAAATGCTCCGCGCAGAGAAACGTTCTAAATCCCTTAAAAACTACTCTCCATTCCTTAAAAAGTGAGAAATGAACTGCAGGCTATGACCCTTTCTGAAAAACAAAATAGTATAAAATCACCAAGTGGGAGTGGGCTGGTGGTCTTCAACAGAAGCCCTGGGAGGTGCAGGGAATTAAGGAACAGAGGCTTAACAAGTTAGGGAAAAACCAGCTCCGAAGTTTTGTAAAAACAAATATAAATCACGTATTAAAAAAAGACTGCACCAAAATGTTAGCACTGGCCATTCTTTGCTGATGGAACTACAGGTGGCTTTATGTCTTCTTTACATGAATTCATGGTTTCCACCGTTTTTAAACGTTGAATATACATACCTTTAATAATTAGATAAAAATTTAAGGACTTCAGATAATTACTAGATCAACTTCAGTCTGCCCAATTTGCACTAACACGAGTGCACTCTAAAGCATAAGGCCAGGGATGGTTCCAACGCGCTTCTTTGATGCTGAGTCATTGGAGCCAAACTAACCCAAAACCACACAGAAAGCAAGAACTCCTTCTTTTTGTTAAGAATCCAGGGGCAGGGGCGCCTGGGGGGCTCTGTCAGTGAAGCATCTGCCTTCGGCTCAGGTCATAATCCGAGGGTCCTGGGATTGAGCCCCTCTTCAGGCTCCCTGCTCAGTGGGGAACCTGCTTCTCCCTCTGCCTCTGCCTCTTCCCTCTGCTCATGCTCTCTCTCTCAAATAAATAAATAAATCTTTAAAAAAATAATAATAATCCAGGGGTGGGGGTATGATCCTGGCCCCGCCTCTGGTAACTGGGCAACCAGCAAGGGCCTGCTCCCTTTCTCTCTCTCCC